AACTATTGTTATGACAATTTATAATTACAAATTTTACAGAGTTAATAAGATTAGTAGAGAAATGAATCCTAAAAGTGAATTTACTAATTAGAATGGTTCAAAAATGAGTTACATGAATTATTATTCAGAAAAGTATTTATTTATATTTATTTTAGATACAAAATTACAATCAAAGATTAAGCTTAACCATTAATTGAAGTCATAGAAAAGTCTAGAAAAAAACAGGAAGAAAAAATCATATATCTTATACCTGAATTATGTGTATTGACAGGATTATCTAATGAAATGAGAAATAATTTCTAGACAATGAAATAATTGTCAACTGTTACTAAACCAAGAGGAGTTGATAGAGTAAAATAAGCAGATCAATTCATTTAATGTTTTCATTAAAAAGAGAGCGAGGATTTAATTAAGAAATGGAATATTTAATTGGAATCTAAATGTCTACAAATATAAAGTCTTAAAGTAAAGCCTGGAAATATAGTAATGGGAAACAATACTTCAATTAATATAGAGACTGGTAATTTAGATAGAGACACTTAAACTGCAATGTTAAGAGGAGTAGGTTTAGAAAATTGGGGTATTTTATATAGTGATAGAGATTAAAGATAGGCTGAAGACTTTATGTAATGTTTAAGAGAAAGTATCGAATATTGTAAATTTTAATGCAAAGCTCCAAAAACATTTTAGATTCATTCTAATAGAATAGAAGATTGGATAAAATAAATTGATATAATAGTTTAATAATCATAAGGACCTTAAAAAGTAACACTTTTAGTATTAATATTAAATGGGCCTAAAAAGAATGCACCTTTGTATACAGATCTTAAAAGATATTTAATAAATGATTGCCCAATAGCATCATAAGTAATATTAAGTTCAACATTAAATTAACCAAAAGGTAAAGTAAAAACAATATGTAATAAATTATTGGTATAAATTTGTGCAAAAGTTGGTGGAACTCCATGGGGAATATCAGAATTACCATTTACAGATTAGCCAACAATGATTTGTGGAATGGATGTTTATCATTCAACAGCAAAAGGAAGGAAATCTATGTTATCATTTGTATCAACAGAAGATGAATTCTTTAGTAAATATATTACTTAATCTGTTGAAATGGATAGTGGTATTGAATTTTCATTTAGTTTATGTCCTGTTTTAGTAAAATCATTATAATCTTTTACAAGTGATAATAGGAATCCTCTTCCTTCTAGAATTATTATTTTTAGAGATGGAGTTTCTAATTCTTAAGCTAAAACTGTTATTGAAACTGAAGTTGCATAATTTAGATAAGCTATTGAATAAGTTAAATTAGCTAAAAATTATTCAAAGCCCATTAAATTAATTGTCCTTTCTGTTAATAAAAAGGTTGGAGCTAAATTTTATGCTGGAGAAAGGTTTTATTAATATTTATTTATTTATTTTAGAAATTTAGATAATCCACAATAAGGAACTTTGATAGATTCTGAAATATGTATTAGTAAACAAGATTTTTATTTAATTGCATAAAAAACTACTTAAGGAACTGTTCAACCAACTCATTATCATATTTTGGTTAATGATCTTGCTGATGAACCTAACATCGTTTCAAAATTATAAGCTCTTGCATATAAATTATGTTATATGTATTATAATTTTAGTGGAGCTATTAAAGTATATTATTTTATTTTCATACTAGATCCCTGCTCCAATCTAATATGCACATGTTTGTTCTAATTTTATTGGTGATAGATATGATCCTCGTAAGCCATCTACACTTATTAAGCCAAATTAAATATTAAATTAAAGAAGATCCCTCTTCTTTATTTGAACAAATATTAATAAAAATCCATTCAAATATAGAATATTATTAGCATTTATAATAATAATAATTATTATAAGAAATTATATTTATGCATTAAAGTGTTGTTAGCTTGATCAATTAATATTATTAATTTCATTAATATCATTAATATCATTAATTTCATTAATATCATTAATATTATTAATATTATTAATATTATTAACAAACTTCATTTTTATAAAAACTAATATAAAATAACTCTTATTTATATATAAATAATTATATTTTTTGATCATAATATTCTATCAAATTCATGTTCTAAAATTAATGATTTTACTGTATGAGGTGATATTGAGATTAAAGTATGTATCTTTTTAGCTTATTAAAGTATATCAGCAAACCAAGCATTTGAAGTTTGAATATTCCATGGTGATGCTCCTATTTTTAATAATAATTTAAATGATTCTTCACTCTAAGCTTCAACTGCGTACCATAAAGGATTTCTATTCATAAAGTCCTTTGCTTCATAATCTGCTCCACATTATAATAAATATTATAATAAAACTGAATTTCCTTTAGAAGCAGCTATATGTAAACAAGTCTATCCTAAATGATTAAATTCAAATAATAAATTTCTATTAAATTTTATTAAGTTTTTTATTTCTACCATATTATTATATTTTATATATCTAAGAAATATAAAAGATCCATCTATTTAAAATGGTTGAGATGGAAATTAAAAGCTACTCATTTCTTGTAATGATATTTTACATCTATTCATTTTCTAAAGCCATTACAATAATTTCTAACATAAATATTATCTTCTTTGTTTTTTCTTTTCTTGTAATTGTTCATCATCTAATTTCATATATACCTTTTTCTGTCTTATTCTTTTCTTATTTGAACTAATTATTGATATTTATCTTACTTAATATTCTTCCATCTAGTTAATAATATATGTAATAATTCTTCATCTATTTTTTTATGTGTTTAATTGAATATCAATAGTTATTATCCTGAAACATTTTCAAGAATATTTTATTAAGAAGTATGATTTGAACCAACTAATGACATTTTTTGAGATAACTTTCTTGTTGAATTTTATTAAAACAATCCTTTTTAAGGAGATACTTATTTCTATTTACAAGGATTCTTAATAAATAAGTCATTTATTTTTATATCAAATTATTATTCATTATTATTATTATTATTATTTTACATATTTAAACTTGAAGCTGAACTCATTCTTTATGAAGTTCCAGGTCTAGATATCTTTTATAATTATTCAATTTATTTTTATGCTTCTAATAATTTATCTTATATATGTTTTTTATTTTTGTTAGAATCCTACTAATATTTTATATATTTTAATAAATCTTAATCTCTTTATTTCTATAATTCAGCTTTTTGATCAATTCCTTAAATAGCTTTAACATTTTCATAAATTTTTCTATATATTTATTCTCTTCTTTCATTTAAAACAGTTTCAATTTACTCTTCTTCTTCTTCTTAATTTTCATATCTTCCAGTATATGTTAATAGTAATTGTTGTTCTAATTTTTTCAAATCATTAATCTCTTCATTGATATTTTTCTTTTTAGTTTATCTTTAAATTTCTTGTTATCTCAATATTAATTCTTCTGTTCCATCAGTTACAATAATTTCTTTTTTTTTACTCATAGGCATTTCATTAAATGATTCTATTTTAACTTCTTCAATTTCTGGTTTAAATGAATTTTACTTAATAATTGCTCTTTATTTATGATATGACTTTTATTTTTTCAAACTTTCAATTTGTGTAATTGATTTTAAAAGACGTTTAGGTAATCTAATAATCTTTTTTGTAGGTGTCAAAGGTTTTGTTTTAATTCTTAAATCGATATTTGATAAGCCTTAATTTTTGAGTGAATTAAATGCTTATAAAGTTTTTTCATTTAATAAATTCATTATTGAGAATAGAACTTAAGGTTGAATAATATATGAAATAGAAATAAATTAAATTGATATTCAATTTTCTAATTCATTTTCAAAATCATCTTGTTCATAATTTTCTGATTTATTAGTTTTATTTTTGATTTAATATTTAAGTTGACTTTCAGAATATTCTTCATTTTGATCTTAAGATGTTTATTCTAATTAATAATCATCATCATCAATATCATTATCATCAACATAAAATTTATTATTCTAATTTTCATAATCTTCTTAAGATTGTTATTTATCTTTCATTTATTTATTAAAAGCTTGTTAGTATAATAATTCTTCATCTTCTTAATTATTTTAATATCCTTAATTATTATCATGATCATCTTCTTAATGTAATTATAATTCATAAAAATTTGGTTCAGAATAACTTCTAATTAATCCATTTTTTTATAGATAAGTTTTAGATGATTTATCTATTTATTGTTCTAATTAAGGATCATAAACTTTTTAATCTAATTCACACAATGATAATATTTGTTCTTGTTTTAAACGAAGTTATTTAAAGAAAAAGGAATTACGTTTAGATGATCCAGTATAATATTTTTATAATTCATCAAGAGCATTTTGATTATCATTATCTATAGAATCACATAATTCTTTTAAATATTTAAAAATAAGAGATCCATTTAATTTTCTTATATTTTGACAATCTTTAATTATCTAACTGAATAATATAAAATTATACTTTTAAGAGAAGATATTAATATTCAATTTATTTAAGACTTAATTTTTTTTATTGTTTTAAAAATAAGTCGAGAATAGCAAATAAATCTAAATATCTAAAATTCTATCCAATAAGTTTTGATTCTAATAGTGAAATAATATTTGAAAACAATTTAGAAAGATAGATTTCTATGATTTTAGATTCTAGTTTATCATAAATAGGCCAATATCCAGTAATATTAATAAACTCTGACTTGACAAATTCATGTTATTAAGTTAGATTAATATTAATATTATAAGGATATTATTGATTGTGTTTTTCAATAAGATATCTAGCAAATAACATAGCATCTGGTTTATCTAAAAGAAAAGGTTGTTTAGTTAATCTATCATGAAGAGAACAAAAATCAATTTATGATGTATTCTAATTAAATAGATATCTATCTAATTTAACAGTAGGAATATTTGCAGAACTTAATCTTAATCTCACTTCCAATTCTAAAAATCATAGATAATAAGAAATACTTATTTCTTAGAGTTCTTGTTCTTTTACAGGTTCATCTATTAAGTCCATAATTTAACGATTAATACAAGAACTCAGTATATTATTACTACTATTACTATTATTTGTATTATTGTTAATTTTAAATGATTGATCTCTTTTTGTAGAAATATTTAAAGATTTATCCATCAATTTTTAAGGATTAGCCTTCTTAATTGCTATTTATTTTTGTGATTTTGTATTCAATGATATCCTATCAATATCATTTTTTAAATCTTGTATTTATTTATCTTTAATTTTTAATTTATTTTTGGCTTCATTTTAATATTTATTATATATTTTATCAAGTTCTTAATATGCTTAAACCATCTATTCTAGTTTCTCAGATAAAACCTTATTTTCATCAATATAATATTCTAATTACTCTTACATCTATTTTATTAGTTATTCTCTCTATATTAACATTTCTTTCAATTTATTTTGATCATTTTCAAATTACTTTTAATAAATATTATCTGTTATTAACTATTCTATAATCTAAGATAAACGTATAGTTTCATCTTAAAATTATTTACATTCAATTTCTAATTCTGATAATTTTGTATATTTGGATGCTTTCTTGATATTTTATAATTCTAATTTTGAATCATTAAGTTGTTCATTTAGTTATTTAACTTAAGTTTTCAAATTTAATATCATTTAATTATCTTACATTGGAGTTTAATAGAATCTTTTCACATTTCCAGTTTATTCCATCTCTTCTATTATATTTGAACATTTTACTAAATCTTTCTAAGAATTAATATCTATAACATATTTACTTCCAGATTAATATTTTTAGTTTTTAATTTTGTATTCTCATCTTTAAATTAATTAACTATCATTTTTAATTGTTAACTCTCTTCATATAACTTTTCCCAATCCATTTTTTAACTATTTTGTTTATTTTGTTTTATTCCAATAGGTAATTTATATGGACTATATAATATAATTATATAAATACTTTGTTGGTTTGTTTTATTCTTTGTTTATTTTATCTTATTCTCTTGATAAACTACCAGATGCACTTGATGGTCTCATTTAATTTAATATTTGGTAAACTAATAAAGTATAAATATTATAATCTGCATATTTATCATATTTATTAATTTATACCTTCTATCATGTAATTCTTAAGTTTAGAACAATCAAATGAATTATCATTTAAGTTAACTACTATATTATTATATTATTATTAAAATATGAATGATATTCATAAAGGATAACTAAAAGATGGTCCATAATTAAAATATATAAGTTATGAAGATAAATTAGAGTTCAATCGAAATGTAAGATAATGGCATAATAAATTTGTTTATTAATAATTTGATTTAAGTGGATTGAAAGGAATTCATTTAGATAAAAATGATAAATTCAAACTATTGAAAGAATAATTAACATCATTCAATAAATAAGTAAATCTATATATACAATTAGTTACAATAAGCTGAAATTAGTAAAATAACTCCTTAAAATTTCCCTTCTCGTTATAATTTTCACTCTTAGATTTTATAATTATTAAGAGAAGCTTTATTATCATCTAATAAACAATAATAAGAAGAATTTATTTAAAAAATATATGATTGGAATAATCAAGAATAAACAAGTTCAATAAAAAGTAGATGTAAACACATTCAATCTGTTGATTTTAAATATGAAAGTTCCAATTTTGATGGTACAACAAATGATGAAACTAAAAGACATTTCTTAGATTTTAATGAACAAAAGTAATTACCCAGTTAAATTATATAAGAAAATATTAAGGATTTTAAATAATTGTAAAGAACTATTCATAAAGAAATTGATCCTCCTGATCTTAGGTATTAATTATAATTTAATTTTTAGATTATAATAATACTCTAGAAAAACATTGATTCAATAATAATTATAAATCTCTTAATTAAAACCAGACTCTTAATCATCTTTTTTTCCAACCTAAAATAATCTTAATAGATTCTCTGCCTATGAATAATAGCAATAAGAAAATGAAACAGAAAATGAAGAAAATAAAATGCCTATTGAACCAAATAAAGTTTTTCTTAAAGACGATTAAGATTTAAGTATATAAAGATAATAAAGTAAATCTTTTGAATTTAGATAAAATTATTAAGCATATTAACCATCTAATTCAGAAATTGAAGCATCTTTATAATAAAGATGGATTACCAATAGATATAAAGAACAATAATCTAAAAAAGAAGATTAAGAATTAATTGAATCTATGTTAAAATGGTCAAAAAATAAATCTAGAATATATAAAGAAATTGATAGAAGATAAGATTCATCTTAATTTGGAAGTAGATATAAGAATTTAGAATTTATTCCAGATTCTCCTTTATAAACAAAAAAGTAATATTATATTGGTTATGATCCAAAAGTGGTTAATTTGAAGCAATTGCCTATTATTGTGAATACATCTAAAAATAACTCTGTTAGAACAATGATTTAAATGGAAGAATCTGTTTCTAAATAAAAAATTGATACAACAAAAAAAAAATATACTAGTTTGTTAAATTTATCTAATATTGATATAACACCTTTAAAAGCATAATAATCTTTATCTATATATGGTAAGTCTGATTAAAAAAATCGATCAATTTCATAAAAGAATAAGTTAGCAAGTGTAATTGATGCATTCAGTCCTGAAAAAGTTTCTGAAGAATAATTAAAAGAAGTATTTGAAGTATTTCTTTAATTTATAAAAATATAGATCAAAAATAGAATGGCTAAACATAAAATAGTTGTACCTTTAAAAAAAATAATGACTGGTTTAATTGCTCCAACTATAGATAAAAATAATTTGTAAGATAAAATACCAGATATTGGATCAATGATTATGAACAATCCTTTTGAAGTAGCAAAGAAAACTAAGAAGAAGAAAAAAAAGAAAAAAGAATGAATTTTTATACTAAACTTATAACACTTTTTATAATTATTAAAATTTATTATAAAGTAATATATACTTTTATTCTAATAATTTAGACTTTAATATCAAAATTGATAATTAAAATTTTTGATTATGAATATCAAAATTTAAATATTCTTATATTTATTATAAATAAATTAAAATAATAAACCTATTACTTATTGATCTTTAATATCTCTTTCTTTAGCTAAACATCCTTAAGTTTATATATATACAGATGGATTTATGAGTAATGAATTTACTTTAATTAGTTTTAATAGAAATGTAAAATTAATCAATTCAAATTATATCTTTTTTAAATATTTATTAAAACTTTTTATATTT